CCCCGAGGTCCAGGACAACCAGTGTGCCTGCCGGTGTCCAGGGTCATAGAAGGAAGGACTGCGACTTGTCTCCCTGGCCACTTGATTCAATGACAGCGGGCCCAGATCCAGCCCCTCTGCAACCAGGCCCCCACTGCTAGAAGGCACCCAGAGATCCCAGATAGGCCCTTCTGAACTGCTTCCCAGAGCATAAGTTGTGCAGCAGGAAGACTCTGCAGAGCTGGGACTCTGCAACAGATGTTGACTTTGCAGTCAACAAAGCTAAATGATGGAAAGTAAAACAGTGTTATAGGTGTGGTAGGAAGAGCACTGGGCTCGGAGCCAGGAAGGCCAAGTTCTAGTTTCCTCTTCTAGGCAATGGGAGGGGAGGAGACGCTGGGGGACAACAACAATGGGTTCCTGCTAGCTCTGTCTCAACGCTTTGGGCATCCCAGCCCTCCTGGGAGGCAGGCAAGCCTGTGCCAGCAGGACCTCCTCACAGACCGGGACAGAAGAGGTCCTTGGCCTTGAGCCAAGGACACAGCCAGCCTCACCTCCATCATCATCTCAACTCTCTTCCTCTTCATTATCTCATTTGATCATCGAGATGGCCCCATGGAGAATGTAAAGCAGAGGTGATCCTCCCCATTTCCCAGATGAGGACACTGGGGGTCTCCCCAGATGAGACTCAGGGTGTGTGGGGGGAGGGGACTTCCTACTGAGTTGAAAACACACAACTGAATCTTCTGAATCCAAGCTTGGTACACTCCCCACTGTCATGCACTGCCTCTCCCTGGGGGCCTTGTAAGAGACATGAGAGGGGCAGACCTCTCGCTCATGGCTCCATTATAGTACTGATCACAGAGCTACCAGATGCCAGGCACTATGCTGGGTGCTCCTCTCCTCCCTTCCCTCAGTATGTCTTCACTAACACCCAGGAAATAAACGTTCTTCACCTCATTCTACATGTGAAGAAATTAAGGTTCAAAGCTCAAGAGATGTATGCCCAAGGTCACACAGCTAGCAAGTGCTCAGAATTCACCACCAGTCAGTCTGACTCAAAGCCCAGATTCTTCCTGCCACACTATGTTGCCTTTGTGTGTCCACATTCTCCACATGGACAGGGACTGAGACTATTTCATGTATATGCCCAGTCCACAGCAGGCTCTAGTTAAATGTTGGTTCCTGGAATTATTATTCCCAAGACCAAAGCATTAAAAGGAATGAAGAAGGCTATCTCATACAGATGGAAATTATAATCCAACCAGAACATATAATTGCCATGAAACTTTATGCTCCTAACATAGCTTCAAAGTATATAAAGCAAAATTGATTAAAAAAAAAAAAGAAAAGGAAAACCCACAATCAAAGTAGATTTTATACACCTCTATCAGAAATGAATAGAATAGGAGTGCCCGGCTGGCTCAGTCAGTAGAGTATGCAACTCTTGAGCTCAGGGTTGTGGGTTCCAGTCCCACCCTGGGTGTAGGGATTATGAAAGGGAGAGAGGGAGGGAGGGAGGGAGAAAGGAAGGAAGAAGGAGGGA